CGCCCCGCCCACACCCGCCCTTGCCGCAAGGCGGCCGCTCAGCGCTGGGTGCCGGACTGCTTTGATACTCCGGAACTACGCGAGTTGAAGTAAATTTTGGGTTAACGTTGTACTTCGAAAAGTAAAGTACTGATAACAGTCATCCCTTACCCCACGCCTGCCCTCGTTCCACCTGCCTCCTCAGACTCCCTCCGGCGTGGCGCGCAGTTTGAGGCGGGGCGCGGGAGAGCGGCCGCGGGTTTGCCCCGCCGCCCGGACCCGGGAGGCCGAGCGAGCGCCGCGGCTTTGTCCGTCGGGTTTCGCTCTCAAAGTGGATCTAGAGTTGGGGGCAGAGCGCAGAAGTGTGCTGAGGAGGGATTTTGGGTGTTATTAGTAGGACAGTAACTCAGCGCGCTGACAACAGTCTCGGGCTCTGCTCGACAGAGGAGTCGTACTCAGACACACTGCTTCTGTCGCCTTCCATTTCTAAGCATATTTCATAGGACGTAACATTTAGAGTAGTGGCATCTACTAGCTAAAATGTGTAGATCTCTAGGGCGCCTGCCCATAGCTCAGTTGTTACTGTTTGCTTACGCTAGGCAGTGAGGCTCAGGATGCTGTGGTTCCATCCCCAGGTCCTCGTGCCTTACCAGACCTGCCCTTAACGCATCCTCAGCAGGAAAAAAAAAGTCCTTCTGAACTTTTGGGCCAGCCAAATAGCTCAGCAGATTAAAGCGCCTGCAAGCAGGCAATTGAGACTGGCATGGTGGCAAGTGCCTGTAATCCCAGCTCTTGGGAGGCTGTGAACAGGCGGATCACTATGAGTCCGATCTAGTAGTGAGACCCTGAACACCCTGTAGACCCTTAGCTAAGATAAAAAAAAAAAAAGTAGGAATCGCCAGTTCCCAGTGAAGAAATTCAACGTTTTTTTAATATCAGAGGCAAACATCAGTAAAAATGGTATGTAGTATGTTATTAAATATTACTTGCTGGTACCATTTGGTCATAGACTAATTTTTATTTTACATTAAGCATTGATAAGTACCTTTAATGGTAGGTGTTGAAGATTCTGAGAAATATACCCTCCTTTCAGATTTTTTAAGGCTTTTTGCCAGTAATGAGGATGTAAGTGCTCAGATACAGCGTTAGGAGAACACATGGAACACACACTCGACTTTTTCTTTTATTCAGTCAGTGCTTCATTTTTAAAAATTTCTTCAATGAGCACCTACTTATCAGCCATCATTTCCTGTAAAAAAAAAATGCAGTTGCTTTTGGACTTGTATTGCAACAGGCAGAAACAGACAAGAAACTATTCTCTGCTAGGCGATGCTATGAAGAAAAAGGAGGAGGTGGAGAGGGTGCTACTATTTTATACAGGTTGTAAGAAAAGTCTTCTCAAAGTGACAGTGAAAAAGGGAGAGAGTGACCCACAGACAAGTATCCTGGGAAGAAGCAACAGCAGAGATTTTGAGACTGGAGGGCTGCCTTCGGCACCCGCAGCCCAAGAGCAGTGTTAGCATGTAGAAGACGGTGAGCACTGTGCTTTGGATTATACTGAGGACTGTTGTAAAGCAGGGCTTCTCAAATATTTTACTTGTGACATTATTATGTATATATATGTAATAATGAATTTTA